CCCCGGCTTGTCCGGCGTTTACAGAGCGCAGCAAAGGGTGGGATTAGGGACGAATCCTTCGCAGTTCGCTTTGTGCCCAATGGGCTGTACCCATTCCTCCCGAGGTTCTCTCAGCCATTCTCTCATCCTTTCCTTGTCTCAGAGCAAAGGCCAAACAAAATCTGCAGAGAAGGAAGTTTCCTTCGTGGCAGAAAGACCCACGCCAACCGCCCCCACCACCCAGAAAATAGGAGGGGCAGTTCCCTGATGGGAGCTGGCTTTGCAGGGGGGACACTGGAGGGAACAGGTTTGCAGGCAGAGTCGGGCTGCGGGTGAAGAGCTTCGTTGTTGTTCCATCACAGTTGTTTGGGTGGGTCACCGGAGGGGACGCTCCGCAGAGGGAGTCGGGCTTCCTGTTGGCACGAGGCCTTTGCTGTTGGCTTGTCCCTTTATAGCTGCCTCCTTCCGTGGGACACGGGGTAGCTGCCTCTTTTTATTTCAGAACTTCTGTGCATACAGCAATGTGAATGCCCTTAACGCTCCTGCCCTTAAAAATGGTTAAGATGACACACATTATTTGTGTATTTTACCACTATTAAAAAATTTTTAATGTGTTTTTTATAACGGCAAGAAGAAACACTTAAAAAATTTTTTAAACAGTTTCTGTGCGTTGGAAGGGACTTTGGGAATCCCCCTCTTCGGCCACATTGGTGGTGCAGAAATTCCCTAGACCCCATCACCCGGTCACCCCGTCACCTGGCGGCCCCGCCCGCCGCCTGGCCGCCCGCTGGTGATGGGAGCTCTCCCGCAGCGTGGCAGCCTGTTCTGCTGTTGGACAGCTCCTCCTCCTTGGCAGGACGGCAGCAGCCCTGCCATCCACAGGTCCCTGCCTGGAGCTCCTGGGACACCACAAATGGTGTCTGTTTCCAGTTCTGCCTGACAGCCCCACACACTGTCCTTTAAATTAAACAGTTCCAGTTCCTTCAGCCACTCTCCACCCTTCACCCTCTCGGTCCCCATTCTCTGAGTGCATTCTGGTTTTACCAGAGGGTGGCACCCAGATTTGACCATGTGACGGGATCTGTCTCCCCAGGGACCAGCCAGCGGCAGGGTTTCCCTAGGAGCTTGACATTCATTTTCCCTGCACCTTGCCTGTCCCTCACTTGGCTTGGGCCACACTCATGTGACGTGTGACGGATTTCTTAAACCCAGCACAGCCCAGGCTCAGCTCCTCAGCTTCACGGCCACCCTGGCTCCTCCCACGTCTGGGTGAGTGGGGCCAGATTTCAGTGCGACCCAGTGTGCACCTATGGGAGACTTCAGGCATCCTTGGCCCCTTTTCTTCCCCTTCCTCACCTTGTTAATTCTTCCTCCCTAACACCTCGTGAACTGGGCCCCCCGTCCCCACTGCACTGTCCCAGTTGGTCACCGTCAGCTCTGGCGGCAGTGTCTCAGTGCCCCCCTGTCTTTCTTGGTCTCCTCCTTCCAGACCGTCCTTAACAAGGAGGAATGACAGCCTTATCTTTCCGGAATCCACACCCAAGCGTGTCACTTTCCTTCTTACACACCTTCTCTGTGCTTTTGCAAAGTTTCTGGCCTCTGCATATGTTGCTGCTTTGGGTTTTTTTAAATCATTTTTTATTTTATTATTTTTTCTATTTTTATTATTGATGTTTTGTCTGGAATACCTTCTCCCTCCCTCTTTGCTACCTGTTCAAACTCCTACTAATTCCTCTTTTAAGCTCGAGTGCCATCTCCTCTGTGAAGTCTCTCCTGGCCCCCGCTGTACCCCCTCCCCCGTCTCCTCCCACTGTACCCTAGGTGTCCGGGTGCCTCCTCCCACCATACCCCCGACGTCCGGGCCCCTCCATTACAGCATGCTGTTACTATTTGATTGCTGTCATATTTCCTTATAAGCTAGACAGTGGGTTCTTTGAGGGATCATTTCCTCTCTACCTCTGCTTTCCCCACTTAATAGCTATTCAGTGACTAATTGGATGGATGGATGGATAGACAGGTAAACAGATGGTTACGTGAAGCAGGATGGGGTGCTGGGGTAAAGTAGAAACAGGCTCCCTGGTTTTCACAATGGGATGCCCCCTCTGCTATTTCCACGTCAGGCGCCGTATCATGTGGGCTGCATTGCGCGGTGTCTGTCTGCACACCAAGGAATCACAGAGGCCTCTGCCGAGTTTTGGTTCACTGTCCTCTGTGAGCAGGGCCACATGGTAGCTGCCGCCGTAGGTCCTGTGTCGATGAGACGTTCCCATCAGAGAATTCAAGCATGAATCGACTGAAATTGAACCAGCGCTGTCTTGCCATTGAGGTGTCTTAGTGTCTGAGGGGACAGTGGGGGGAAGGAAGGGACAGATGCATCACCCATGATTCCACTAGCGAGGAAGCGTAGAGCTCAGAGAGCACATTCCCTCAGCCACTTCCGCAGCTTCTTGAGTTAAGCTGTGGTCTTGGGCCCTTGGCATTTACTGCAAGGATAAGAGTGTCCTGGGAAGACTGTCTCCGTATCACAAGAGCCCACACTTAGGACACTATCTTTTTGTTACTCAGTGACCCTTATGTGAGGATCCATGTGAAACATTTCTCCAGAAATTTTATTTGAAAGAAACGTGGCATTCCGAGGGAGCCGGCATCCCTTCTCCCGGCCCCTCACTGCTGCAGCTTGGCCGCGGCTCAGGAACGTCAGCATCCCCCGAGAGCTTGTCAGAAATGCAGACTCCCAGGCCCACCACAGGCCTGCCTGCATTTTAACAAGTTCCTCATGCATTCTCAGGAGCTCTGACCTTACAGATGCTGAGATCCATTGGACCCGCCTTCTCTGTGCCCCTGAGCTGCCAGGTGACTGAGGGAATTCTGTGCTCTTGTAGAGTAACTCCACGAACCCCAGGTACCGTGTGAAGGCATTTTTTATCTTCATTCACTCAGCCAGCTTTGTGTGCCTGGCCAAGCATTAAGTGCACTAGGAGAGGAATGGAGAGAGGACTGGGGTCTCTCCTGACCTTAAGAAACTCAGAGACTCAGGAAAGAAACATGATGAGGAATGGCCCCTGTCCTGTCACACCTGTCTCACCGCCACAGCAAGTGCCTCACGTGGCCGGGTTAGAGCCATGAAACCCTCAGTGGGAGCACAGCTGTTCCCTTTATCAGGTTTGGGGGGTGGGGGTCTTTGTAATTGCCTGGGGTTTAGGAAGGAAGGGTAATGGAAGCATCACGCGGGAATCTCTTTTTCGTGGGCAGTCCTGCCATTTTTACTTTCTTTAACGTGGCTTTTCTTCCAAGAAAGTAATCCTACCATGGCCTTTGTTTCTGAAACCGGTCGCATAGGCTGGTATGAAGCTGAGGGTGGATACCTACTTGCCACCCTGGCTCTCCCCGTTTGTTCCCAGGTAGCTGGGGCTGGTCAGTTCCTCCCTGATTGCTCTGGATCCCAGGCCGCAGTAGCAGCCCCCCTTCCACGCCCCCCTCCTCTGACAGGGGCCCCCTTCCCGCCTCAGGGGCAGGTCTCGTTGCTGCTCCCTCCTCCCCACTCACCTGCCTGCTTCCTCCAGCCGCCCTCTCGTCTCACCTGCCTCGTCCTGCTCCTTCCCCCAGGAGCCCTGGCCCGCTGGCAGCTCCCCTCATCTCTCCCTCCTCACACAGGAGGCTCCCCCGCATCAGCACCTCCCCTCCTGCCCCAGCGGGAGAGGAAGCCCAGGTAGTTGGCTCCTCACTCCTGGCGTTCCTGCTGCGGCCAGCTGCCGCCCTCTCATTGCTTCTCGCCATCCGATGTCCTCCTTACCATCTGTCTGTCCATCCTCTGTGCTGAGCAGAGCGTTCCTGCAGCCCACAGGGAGCGTCTGTACACAGTTGATCAGCCAAGAAATACCTCACATGTTTAATAAATTACTATCTAAAAGTAACCTCTCTGACTCTACTTGGAAAGTAGGATTGGACACGTAATGGCTTCAGATATATTCGTTGTCGTACTGTGGGCTGTTTTGGATAGACTGTTACTTTTTTTTTTTTAATATGTTTTTATTGATTTCAGAGAGAGGAAGGGAGAGGGAGAGGGAGAGAGAAACATCAATGATGAGAGAGTCACTGATCGGCTGCCTCCTGCATGCCCCCGACTGGGGATCCAGCCCACAACCCGGGCATGTGCCCTGACCGGGAATCGAACCGTGAGCTCCTGGATCCTAGGTCGATGCTCAACCGCTGAGCCACGCCCGGCCAGCCTGGTCTGTTATATTTTATACTAAAAAGAAAAATACTTTAAAATCTGGCATAATATCATCCACACATTAAAAATTTTAGAAAAGTAATGAATATAAAATACATTAGAATTTTAGTGAAATGAGCCTGTTCTCTTCTGCTCTGTTACCTTGCACTTTGGTTTTTTTGTTTGCATGCCCTTCACCCTTTCCATCGCTGTCACCCTCCAGAGTATTCCAAACGTTTGAACTGTATATGCTGCCTGCAACTTCACATTAAAGGTTCAGGCCCACCCCCAGAACTGGACATAGAGCATTTTCTAAACCCGATCTGATTTGATTCTGCCACTAGGGGGTGCTCTTGTAAACATTAAAATTGAGCCAAATTGCCCTACTTGGGGGGAATTTTTTTTTTTTTTTAGCTTTGTTTTAAGTAAATTAAAGTCTCACTCATTTTTAGTGTGAAAACTTACCACTAGTCTACACCTTAAATTCCAAAAAATCGTGTCTGAAATGCCTTCCCATCCATAACACCCTTCCTTCAACTTGAAAACTATTAGACCAAACTCACCTCTTGCATGTAGCTATATACTTATACTGGCCTGTAACTTATATTTTCTGCAATTTATATTCCAATAAATTGGAATTGTGACCCAGTAAATTGAATAGGATAGAGACTTTGTACTTAAAGTAAGCTAATTTGAATTTGAACTTACTAGGAAACAGAGAAGCCCTAACTTAATGAAGAATTCATGGATAAGGGCTTCAGATAAAGATTTAGTAAGAGGCAGCAGCAACTGTGTTTTGTCTCTTTTACTGAATGTCTTCATCTGCTCACCTCTCCCATCACTTAACCTTGTATGTAGAACATGAGGGAAATCCCATACTCTGTAGGCTTTTTAAGGCATCTTTTGCTGGACCTGTGGCTCTGGAGAGAATCTAGTGTGAGTGTGTGTGGTGCAGGAAGGTTGAGTGTCCTAGACAGTGAACAGCTGAGATGGTTACTCCCTGTGGCCCTATGAGGTTAGAGATTATGTGGCAGGGATTGCTTGGGGGTGCTTGGCTAACAGACTTGACATGGCCTGGAGAAGAAAGATGCTCAGGGACTCATGTCCGTCAGACTTCTGTTCATTAAGTGAGGGGAAAGCTGTGTGACCTTGGGCAAGACACTCAGCATCTCTCGAAGACAGTTCCTTCATCTGTGTAAGGGGAGTGGAACCAGATGACCTTAGAGGCCTTTTTAGTTCTAATAGTCTATAATTCTCTAAGATAGCGCTGTCCAACAGAACTTCCTGAGATGATGGAAATGTTTTTATAACTGCGCTGTCCAGTGCAGGAGCCACTAGCCACGTGTGACTATTGATCATTTTAGAAATGGACTGGTGCCATTAAAGAACTTTCTGTTCTCAATTTATTTAAATAGCCATGCGCGACTGGTGGCTACCATATTGGACAGTGCAGCTCTGAAATACAGAAGGACCCATATTAGAGAAAAATAAAACGTATAATCTCAGCAGGGGCAACTAATGAATGTCAGGCAAATAACGCAAACTGGGAATAATATAAATTGCCCTGAATATGCGACATTAGTCCCATTTCCTTCGGGCAGCCAAGAGTTCTGTGCAGCAGAGCTCTCAGCAGGATTGGGACAGAAGGAAAAAAGCTTTCAGAAGGATGGAGGCTTGCATCTGAGTAGCTGGCACATTTCCCTGCCACCTTCTAATGCAGCTGGGAAGGGAGCTGAGTTTTCAGCAGCTCCTGGATCCGCCCTGTCCTTCTGCCCCCTTTTCGCAAAACTAAAGGTGGGGATATTTAGGCCAGATGGGGACAAGGGTGGCCCCTGGACTCTGGGTGTACCAGAGCCCTGAAGTTGACCTCTGGAGCTCTCCTAAGGTTCCATGTGTTCTTGACAACCATAGGATGTCAGGCCTCAACAGTCAGTAATGTTTGCTCTGATCAAATATTGACTTATTAAAATACCTCCTCCTCCCCTCTGATGAAGGAGCATATCCGAGAACAATCCAGCACAGAGCTGCCGGACCCGGAAGTCATCCAGTTCTGTGTCTCCATCTTCAAATGCTCCAGGCTCCTGCTCCCCAGATGGCGTGGATCAGCAGTTCCTAGAGGAGTTCCACAGGGTGACCAAAGTGGGCTCCACCGAGGACTCCAGCCAGTACTACTGCGACAAGGTGAGTGAGCTCAGGTCCTGTGGTGCTCAGGTAGCCAGGTGACCCACCCAGGCCTCCTGGTACACAGGCAACTCATGGGCAATTAAGAAAATGTATTCTCACCAACCACTGGAGAAGGAAGTAACATAATTGACCACTTTCCAACATTTTCCAGAATGATAATGGTGATAGCTACTTAATCTTGATCCGTATCACGCCAGATGAAGATGGGAAATTTGGATTCAATCTAAAGGTATGTCGTATGTATTTATAAGGAAGTTTTATGCTCTGAAGCAATCTGTAGATGACACTTTAATTTCCACTGGAAGCGTACTGAATATCTGAGGCTACATAAGGACATTGGCTCCACCCTCAGAATCGGGAGTGTTTCTTTGTGGCCATAGCAGCTGCCTCATGCCAAGCGCCTCTTCTGTGCTTGGTGTTTGCTATGCACTTATTTATATCACCTTACTGAGTTCTAATCAGTGAAGTTGGCATTTTTAACCCCACTTTATAGATGGAGACTAAGGCTCAGAAAGATGAGGACCCACAGTTGGCAAGCAGACTTACACCTTGAAGAGGGGTTATTAGAGCCTCTCAGCATTGCTACTCCAGTAAGAGAGAACAGAGATCCAATTTGCAGGGCCATTACCCTCTTTTCTGTGCCTCTGGCAGGGTCTGCAAACTATGGCCGAGGGTCCAAATGGCGTCTGTTTTTACAAATGGAGTTTTATTGGAGCACAGTCACACCCATTCATTTACAAATAGTGTATGGCTCCTTGGGCACTATGGTGGCAGAGTTGAGCATTTGCAGGAGAGCCCTCTGTCCCACAAAGCCTGCAATATGTACAGTACTCTCTGGTCCTCTACAGAAAAAGTTTACCAGCCCCTACTCTAGTGAGAGCAGGCGGTCTTTCCTGTAGCCCAGGAGCCCTGCTGATGGCCTGCTCTCCAAGGTCCAGGTCACTCGAAAGCCCTCACAGCATGTGACCTTGTCTGTGGCTGTTCTCCGATGACAGCTCCCTGTCCAGCAGCCCTGAGGGGCTGTGCTTCTAGAGCCCTCCTGGAGCTGTTTGCATTTTTTTTAAAGGAGCTCGCTTCCTCCAATCGCACCTTAAGCTCATGGAACCTGGGGGTGGCAGTGGGAGCGTCTGAGCTGCCTTCCGGTTAGCCTGCTAGACCCAGAGGGCCCAGGAACCCTGTAATCTGAAAAGGTGCCGTCCCCCGGGATTAGGACAGGATAAAGTGAAGTCGGTCCCCTCCCCTGTGCCAGAGAGAGCTGCAGGTCTTTGTTGCTGTGAACTATTCACGTGGCTGTTGTTGCATTTTAATTTCACATATTTACAGGGAGGAGTGGATCAAAAGATGCCTCTTGTGGTGTCGAGGATAAACCCAGAGTCGCCTGTAAGTAAACATGTCCCGTTACTTCCCGTTTGTTTTCCCCTAAATCGAACAGCAAAGAGAGTGTGTAATGCATGCATTTAGATGGG